TTGCCTTCTGTAGTGGCTCTACCAAATACACAGTCCCACAACACAGCGTGGGCAGGTGAAACAGCTGGTCCTCAGCAGGTTTCTTGCCTTGGGACTAAAACCAACATCATTTATTACATTCCTTTATGAAGTAAGAAGTGAGAAAGATGGAGGTTGAGTAGAGGAACAAATTTCTCAAGTTTTTGAGTCAACTCAGACTGAATGTTTTGTAAAACACTTCACTGAATTAGGAGCCTTCTCACTTCAAATGGAATATGCCTCCAAATGCCTCCTAACAGCAAGCCCCGGTGACTCAACGATTTGTAGATTATTAGTCACGTCTTCTCTTCTGCTTTAAAAGCCATGAATCTGTTCTGCTTCCTTTCCCCTTGACCCTATTAGTGACATCCAAGGGGACTTCCATTTCCTCAGCTGCTTCTCCCTCCTTCTGCTTGAGCAGAAAACAGGAACAGTTCCTTTGGGTCACTTTCTTTGACTTCTCTCAGTGATTCTGCCAGCACAGAATAGTCTGACTTCTGCTCACGCAAAGTCTTGTGCTCCGCTCTTCCTGCATGGCAGTACCTGGACATACTTCTAAAGAAAACACGTGGCTTCCCTTTCTCCTTCTGCTCCTCCTTCAGTCCTGTTCACAGCACCATTAGCTAAACCTATAAATCAGTTGTGATGTTTAGCATCAGTTGCCAACTGAACAGTATCTAGAGTCACCTAGGAGTCAAGCTTCTGAACATCCCTATGCGTAATCTTCTGGGGTAGATTAACTGAGGTAGGAAGCCTGGCCATGGTGCACAGAACCATTTTATGGACTGGAACACTAGGCAAAGTATTCTACCTCTCCCTCTTTCCCTCTCCCTCTCCCTCTTTCCCTCTCCCTCTCCCTCTCCCTCTCCCTCTCCCTCTCCCTCTCCCTCTCCCTCTCCCTCTCCCTCTCCCTCTCCCCCTCCCCTTCCCCTCCCCCTCTCCCTCTCTCTGACTGAGGATACACATGATCAGGAGCTTCGTGTGACTGCTAGCATGACTTCCTCAGAGCCATGGGCTGCACCTGCAAACCAGGAGCCAGAATAAACCCTTTCTTCTTTAAATTGCTTCTGTCAGGCTGTTTTGTCACAGCATCGAGGTAATCACTAATACATCAATGGCCCATGTGACCATTTCCAGGTGGAATGGCAGAGCTAATTCTTTGTAAACCAGTGTTTTTATAGTAGTCATGATGTGGTCATACAGAAAGCAAAGACTAACAGCCCTAGTGGCTCTGGTCATGTAGTACAGTGGTAGAGGCCTCGGCAGCATGCACAAGGCCCTGAGTTTGATTCCCAACACAACAAATAGCAGCCATGTATGGTGAGCATTCTAAGAGCTATTTGTACAGAGTTATGAAAGATGGCCTCTTAAAGTCTTTTTCACAGTACACGACACTGTTTTGATTTTTCTAACAAAGCCTTAGAATGTCATAGATATCCACTAGAAAGATTTCAGAAATGAATACATTTTAGCTCCCTGTGCACTCACCCAGGAAACATTATCTAGCTTTTTTTCCAAGATAAAAAAAAAATCTTTCCCACATAATTTCAGAGATATTTGCCAAGACCATTCAAAGAATTTTTTCAGACTCTGAGTCCCAACAGCTCAGGTGGGTTCCTACTTCAGCCACAGGAGTGTAATCATTTCTCTTTCCTGGATGAATATTGTTATGAGTTTGCTGACTGGGAGTCAAGGAAGAAGTGTTTCTTAGGTTGTTAACTGGGATAAGGAAAAGAAAACAAAAGGCCATCTCTTCTTATTCAATTTTTCAGAAACATTTTGGATGGATTTCTCAGGCATTATTGAGTGAGTGTGTTTGGCTCATGATAATCCACTTTTAGCAGCCTTGTTGCCTCATTTCCATTAGCTATCGCTCTGGAGAGCCACAGTAACAGGTTGAGAATTACCCAGGAGGCACTGCTCTTGGAATCAATCATCATGAATGAATTTCATCCCTCGGTCTCATCGGTCCATGGTGTCTTCTCTCATTCTTCCTTTTTGTCTCTCATAAAAGTTAAACAGAAAGAGGAGCTTTGTAATGATGTCATTTTCTTTAGAAAACTTAGTCTTATTAATCATTGCAGTTGCCAACCGGAATGTGTTGTATACAAACACAACACACATACACACACACACACACATACACACCCCAAATTGGTATGAAAGATTCTGTCTTTTTATGGGGAATATTGTTTTAATTTCTGCTAGTCTAAAATGTCTCACATCAATTTGATTTTCCTGTAACTTAACTCATGCAAGGGATATGTTTAAGTACGGGCATTTGGAATGTTTAAGCAGGAAAAGTATTGAATGTATATTAGGTTGCCAACAACAGAAAGTTGCAATTTTCAACTATTGCCTTAAAACCTAGAATAAATGCTGACACAATGTTGATGAATATTTATCAAGTTCTTATTCTGTGTTGGGCCCAATTTTAACAGATTCATGGACAGCTTTTGCTGTTGGTGGTGGTGGTTAGTCTTGCTTTGCATCTTAGAAACCCGGCGAGGTACTTAATGTCATGTTTTTCATTTTTTTTTCAGATGAAAAATCAGAATTTCAAAAGATAATTTGCCCAGCTTTTGGTTAATTCAGCACTGAAACCCACAAAGTCTACTTCATTAACCTTTATGCTCTATGACACAGCATCTAATACTGCATTCTAAAGGGGACCTCACGGCCATCAACTATTCATTTCTGACCTCTGTGGACACCAGGCATGCATGTATGTATACCTACACACACTCAAGAAAAACATTCATATACATAAAATAAAAAAAGAAAAATCTTTAAAAATTAAATTAAAAATAAGTGTATATAAAGAATAGACCAACAGTGAGCTAGCCACTAAAGGAGGAGTCACTAGTGGTTTCTACACAAGGACACTGTTTGTGTTTAGGGTCACAGGAAGCGATGATGTCAGAACTTTGAATGTAGAGAAACTTACAGGAATTTCTATTGGTCTTTTTTAAAAAAATCTACCCTTAAAAATTAAAAAAAAATGAAAGGAAGGAAGGAAGGAAGGAAGGAAGGAAAGAGGGAGGGAGGGAGGGAAGGAAGGAAGGAAGAGAGAGAGGGAGGGAGGGAAGGGAGAGAGAAAGAGAGAGAAAGAAAGAGAGAAAGAAAGGAAGAAAGGAAGGAAGGAAGGAAGGAAGGAAGGAAGGAAGGAAGGAAGAAAGAAAGAGAGTGCAGTCAGGCCTGTTGGTACACATGGATCTCAGAACTCAGGAGCATGGTACATTTAAAGGCAGTTAGGGTCACAATAAGATCTATATCAGGCTGACTTATAAAGAAAGCCTGTGCCCTGACAATACTCAGGACTATAGGACACTGATAAACAGGATGTACCAGGGAGGCCTTTTGGAATGTGTTTAAAATTTTTAATCCTAGCAGGGTGGCAGTATCACACATCGTTAATCCCAACACCCAGGAGGCAGAACTCTGTGAGTTCAAAGCCAGCCTTGTTTACAGAGAGAGAGTTCCAGGACAGCCCAAGCTATACAGAGAAATACTATCTCAAAAAAATGTTTGTTTTCTCTTAGCCCTAAAACCCCAGATGTGTCACTTTTAAAATCACTTTGGCCACACTATTGACTCTTCTTCCCCTAATATTCTTTCAAAGCTTTGTTCTTGATATAAATTGATTTATTGACTAGAGAAATTGATATAGTGAAGAATTGAAATGTAAATAATAATTTTCACATCCAGGGGGAAAAGCTACAACTATATATGGATGAGTTATTTTTATTTCATAGCTATTGCTAGAATTCCTGTGTGCTGACACAATATCTGATATTTTTACTTTTCCAAGCATTTGGTAAAATACTCTCTGGTGAGATTTGAGAGGCTTTCTCTCACTCCCACCCCCTCTATGGCTTTCACTCATAGGATACTTAGACAAACATTTTACTGTCCAATATAAATGAAATATATATATATATATATATATATATATATTTATATATATATGGATTCAATTTAAAACTGGTCATTTATAAACGTAGACAAGGAGGCCCCTCCCATGGTTGAAATATATTCTTCAAATTTCATATTGGAATCTCAGTTCCTAAATTCATATGCTGATGAAATTTGGGCATGAGTCCTTTAAATGGGTGCTTCGATTTTAAGGGCTGGGTTATTATGAATGGATTGATTCATTGTAATTGCAACTTTTATTTGCCTGGTGTAATTGTCATCTCAGAGGCTTACTGCCAAATAGCCTCATCTTTTCTAGTTCTTTCTGAATTCTGGCTGGCTGGTTTAATTTAGCTGTTCTGGCTCAAACTCCTCTTCAAGCTGACTGATTAAATCTGGCTTCTCTCAGCTTCTCACTGAATTGTTCTGCTTAGCCTCAAACTATCTCTATCGATCTGTTTTAATCTTCTGGCTCCTTCTTATTCTCTGGCTCATTCTGTCTTCACCTGTATCTAGCTTATTCTCTCTGCAACCTGTATCTGTAAAACTGCTCCTGTAAAAACTGCCTCTGAACTTCACGAACTGAACTGGTACCAATTGAACTGCCAGAAACTCAATTCCCTTGCACTCCCTCTTAACTAATTCTTGAGTGCTGGGATTTAAGGTGTATACAACCACTCCTGAACCTAAGGCTTTTTGTACCTGAAAATTTGCTTTGTACCATGCTGGCCTTGCACTAAGAGATCTGCTAGCCTATCTCTAAGGATTAAAGACATATCTGTATTCCAGCCAAAGTAACCATGTTGCTGGAATAAAATGTCTGCATAATTCATGGATTAAGGGGTTACTATGGAAATGGGTTTATTAAACAACAAAACAACGCAGAGTTCATTGGCATACTGGCTCTGTCCTACCATTGGTGGCATTACAGAATTGTTTCCATGTGATGAATGAATGCCAGTACCACACTTCCTGGCTTTTGAAACTGTGAGCTAAATGAATCTCTATTCTATAAATTACCTGGTCTCTGGGACTTTGTTCCAGCAACAGAAAATAGACTCCCAGTCTCAAAGTGTATCCTTTATTTCTCTATCTTTAGTCCTGTGTGATAGCCTGTTCTTTTGATAGCAATTCTTTACTCGGAGAAGTTCAACACTCTTCTTGCAAGCCCTGTTGGAAAAAATTACAAAGCCACAGTATAATATTTTATAGATTCCATAGAACATTTTCAATTTCTTTCAAACTTCAATGATTACAGAGTTCCTGCCCAGCTCTGTCTTTCAAAGTCCTTCATGTGTGCCCTACAGTGACAGCATCACAATAGATGCCTATAGAGCTGCCTCCAAGACTCCCATAGGTTAAGGGCAAACTTCACTGTTAAGGCGTTTCAATTCTAACAGGCTAGAAGTCTGATGCTAAGGTGGAAATCAGGGTACCACATCTCTAACTGTAAATCAGCCCTTTATGTGTCTGTCTAGATGCTATTCTAGTCTTGTTGATGGTGTCTTGATCTTCCCTGGAAGAACCATCCCTTCTCGGCAACCTTCTAGATGGAGTTGGTCCTGGATCCTTCCTTGGATGCCTGGGGTGACTGAATATTCAGAGCTGGTCAATCTGGACCTTTTCATTCTTTTGCCTCAGGATGGCCCTCTGGCCCTAGTCAGTCTTGTGAGATACAGAGCTAGCACTTTGATACAACTAGGAGAGAACCTAGACTATCTCATTCCTAGAATATCAATATGTGATTTGTGTCTAAATCCAGTGGCATGGAAGGCATGTTCAAGGGACTGCTAGTTCTGTAATGGTACTGGGTCTGTAATGTCATGGTACTGGGTCTGTGGATCCAGTTGGTTTGATGACGGTTTTGGCCATAGCCTTCTCAATTCTCTGAACCCACAATTCTTTGTTATTTGGTCTGAGCTTATATTGCTTACAGCTCAGTAAGTTCTGATTAAACAGAAAGAGAGGACCACAGGACTGTTAGGCAGGAAGTGAGTCTAAGCAGAAAAGCATGGTGAGAAAGGTGAAAGCAGCCAAAGGCTTGAGATTCCCAAGACTGTATGGGTTGGGACAACGTTACAAGGAGGAAAAGATGCCAACCTAAGCCGGATCCTAGGGGTAAGGCCAACTTGCTCTGTAGGCTTTTGACTTTTTGCATAGTGACTCCGAGGTCACCATGTAGCTTGAGAGAGAATCCACCGAGGGCCACATAACCTAATCCTGCCTAGAGGGAGATGAGACAAATAGAAATATCAGGAAGCAATTCTCCGAGGCCACCTTTTAAGGGCAATGTTATCAAATGAAAAGACTGAAAGATTTGTGCTTCTGTACTACATGGAACTATTGACAAAGCATCTTACTCTTTCTGAACTTCTTTTCCCTCTTGGTGATGTAGAGAGAATGTCTATCATTCATCCTCATAACAGTTCTATAAGGTAGCTATTATTGGTTGTAGATTGTAATAATGTTATATTTCTGCTATATCATACTGCAGGCCACTAGCAGCCTAGCCGTTTATGTTAGTTAGATTCAAGCAGGAGCTGTCGTTTACTGATGCTCAAAGGATCTGCCTTTGTGTGGGTGGCACTTTTCTCACCTACCAACTCAGTGTGAGAAAACACAGAAATGTAAAAGAACAGCTGATAAGGCAATTTTCTAAATTGCCTTGTTAACATGAGAAAATATATTTTAGAGTGTCATCTCCAGATAATATTCAATTACATACTTTACTAAGTTTAGAAAATAGACAAAGCCACCAAGTTTGATAGCAGAACTGTCTGAATTGGGGTATTTGTTAATAAGTGAACAATGTGAGCTTTATTGTATATTATTCTACATTCCCAAACAAGCCTGGAAGACGGTCCTTAAATCCACAGTTCTAAAGGTGAGAACATGGGGACTCACAAAGATGGAGTCTTTTATTCTTAGTTATATAACCAGTTAACAGTGACATTGAAATACAGGTCTACCTAAAGCTAAACTCTGAATTTTCTCCTTAAAGAGAACCTGGGCACACTAGGCACAGAAAGCACTCACATGCTAAAACATGGCTTCTCGAACTTTAGAATGAATAAAAGTCCCCAAAGACTTCTCAAATTAGATCTGACTCAGTAAGGCTGGAGTAGGGCCTAGAATGCTACAGCCTGTCTCAATTCTATATTTTTCTAATAGTTTTATTCTTTGCTATTTTCGTCATTTCGCTTTACCTGAAGAAGTCACAGCAGGTTAATGTGTGATTTTTTTTGGTTGTTTTATTATGGCCTTATGTGTCATTTTTAATTAGGTTCAAATTAAATTAGGATTAAAAAATAAATGTAATTTTTTTAACATCTACGGAACATGAATATTGAAAGAAGACTTAGAATCTCTTTTTGTTTCCTTCCTCTAATCTCTCTCTCTCATCTAGTTACAAAATCATTTCAATTCTACAGTGTCACATTGCACAGTTTTTCCCTTTATCTCTTTTTTTATGTCTTTGGCCTTTTAGCTGGAGAGCAGCCGCACCTCTGATTTAGCCATAGTCAAAGTTGGGAAAGACAGCATCACAGTAATGTACCCAGACTGCTTCAGTGAATAACTCAGGGTGACAAGAAATTTTAACTCAGCCTTCAGGAAGCTTTCAGTCATACAATGGACGCTTAGATTATTTACAAAAATAGTTTTGGTTTTTTAAGGAAACTGACAAGAAGATTTTAGCATATTGCTATGAACAATGTCAACTATGCATACCATGATGGAGGACAGATGTCCCTGTGGGGATGTGTAGCAGCCTGACTAGCTTGAGAGGCTGGCACATACCCTGTAGCTGATATCTTCCTGGCCAGTTGGGAGGAGCTAAGGTAGGAGGAGTAAGGAGAGGAAGGGGAGGTGTAAGGAGAGGAAGAGGAGGAAGAGGAGGAGCTAGGGAATAGAGGATGAGAGCGAGGGGGACATGGCTGCGGATGTTCATGTGTGTCTAACAGTCAAAGGTAGTTGATATATCTAGGTTGGGTATTGGGTTACACCTCTGACTGTGTGGGCATCTTGTTAATTGAGCATTACCAAACATATAAAGCCTTTGGTTAATCTTTGAGCATTAGAGTTTCATTCCTACCAGGCCTGCATGGATGGCAGGATGGTTTGGGCTCAGCCCAGCCTTGTGAAGACAGTGTGGAAGATTGGCAGAGCCATTTCGCATACTGGCATCTAGTGAGTGGCAGGGCCGGTGGACTGAGCCAGCAGCCTGAGCCACAGCAGTAGCGAGAACATGCCACTGCTTGTGACCTCAGGCCTAGGCTAGTCGGGAACATGGCAGCTTATAGTCTGTAACTACAAGCCAGAATGGATGCTGCTGTATTAAATATCTCCTGCGACATATCCCACAGTTCCTTTGTGTTCTGTGGCCAGTTTCCTGGCCTTTTACTGCTTGCTTGCTAAAGCAAGTGCCCTGTGGTGCTCACTCAGACACATACCACAGTGTAGCGTGTTGTATTTGCTACCCCATTTTAAGCTCTGGGAATGGGCCTTGATACCCGCCCCGACCCAGATTCCCTTGAATCCAAGAATAAAAAAATAACACACACACAAACAGAGACACACACACGCACATACACACGTACACACATGGCCAGTTAATCTTAAAATGTTTTTGTTAACTCAATGACTGGGTACTCCTAAACTTCCCCTGCCACCCCTGGCATAATCAGATAGAGTGGCCATTGGCCACTGTAATGGAAAACTCACATGGCTTGTTGGCTTTATCTCCTGCAGCTACTACCTCCTTCTTCCCCAGTTCTCCTGTGGCTGCTAGCTTGCTTGGGGGGGTGGAAGGGGGTGGGGCAGAAGTCCTGCCTATTTCACCCAGCTCATTTGCCGCCAGCATCTTTATTGATGGATCAAGAACCAACTGGGGAACAGGTCCACCCCTACACCACTAGCAGCAGCTGCTCAGTCTTTCAAGTTAGTCCCAAGCTGTCAGCATGCAGGTCCATAATAACTTCCATTGACCTGAGAACTTCATTTGATTCCAGAGTCTCTTGATTAAAGTTGCCCTGCCATTTATTATCCAAACTAAGACACTTCTGAGAATAAGGGAGGCGTGTTCATAATTGCAGTGAGCTTGTCAGGCTAATCAAGGACTATTCCCTGCAGATCTGGACACATAGGCAGGTCTTCCTGGGTCAGCTTTGACTCTGCCATCTTTTGCTTTTTTTTAGAAATTTCATGTTTGAAATTTTACACCTGTGTAATGTGTTTTGATCAAATTTCCCCTGTTCCCTGAACACACCACATTCTTCGCACAGAAGTTGTATGTTCTAGTTCCAGTTTGCCCTTTCTTTGTCTTTCTATTCTAGTAGGGTTCTCAATAGACTGAATCCTGCCCTCACACACTGGATGGAAGCAGGTGGTTTCTTGTTGTTGTTGTTGTAGTTTTTATCAGTTTACCAAGTCAGGTGTTGTTTTCTTCCAACACCCACCTCCAATTTCTTTATATTTTACAAGATTTCTGGGAATCTCAAATCAATATGGTATATATAACTAACCAACTCACACACAGACTAACCAATCAGCGAATGAATTGTTCCCTGATTGACAATAGAGACTTATAGACAGCTCATCCATTTGGTTTACAGCTTCCCAATTGTTTCAGTCAGCATTCAAAGGTTCTGTTTTGAGTCAGGCATGGTGGCATGTACTTGTAATCCCAGCATTTGGAGGAAGAGTCAGGAATATCGATTGTTGAAAATTCAGGGTCCACCTGGTCTACACAGTGAGTTCAAAGTCAGCCAGGGTATATAGTAGTGAGTCCCTGTCTCAAAATAAGCAATTGGGAATTTGTTTGTTCACTTTTAGCTTGAATTTGAACTTTAACCAATATGCTGAGGTAATGAGTTCCTTGGGCCTTAGTTCCAGAGAGTAGACATTTTTGTCTCAGACGAGAGAGAGAGTAACATTTGTCTTGGATGGAGACAGTTTTTCTCAGACTCCCAAACTATAACAGGAGAAAGACAACATTATAGTAATATTTGTATATATCAGAACAGTGCCATGGAGAAGAACAAAGATACTTGGGCAGGCTTTATGGGAAGAGTGAAATGAAAGAAAATATAGCAAAAGCTTGTCAGGAGACGTGAAGACAAAGATGCAGTGTATGGGAGACTAATACTCATAATAACAATCCTCACTTTGCAACTATATCCTATGAATAAATTATATCAAAAGGCCATAAATAGAAGACATTCAGTGCCTGAAGACATGGCTCAGTGTATTAAATGTTTGCTAGGTAGGCAAAAGGATTAGAGTTCAGATCCCCAGAACTCATGCACAGGCCAGGTGCAATAATGTATCTGTATAATCAGTGGTGAACAAGTCACTGATCTCAAACAAGGGAGAGATCAAGACCAACACCCAAGGTTGTCATCTGACCTCTACACTAACTGTGGCCCTCACAGGCCCTCACTCTCCTACCCACCCACCCACACGCCCCAACACATATATATGAACATGATCACACACATACACCTTATGTGCATATTAGATTACAAATGAAAAATACCATAAGCAAAAGGGAGCCACAGCAGCTGTCTTATGTGATAGTTCAGAATGCAATGACTGCTTGGGACATCAAAACAAATATGAATGTCAGTGGGGTTGATGACCATCTGTCTTTGTTTCACTCACCAAACAGGATGCTTGCGTTTGTGTTTATCTCCACATGTTTGAGGTCTAACATCATAATCCCAACCCATAAGCCTCAATTATTTGAATTCATCCATATGCACTCAGCTTTACCTGTCTCTCCTCCAGTTTCCCATGATTTAAACCAAATGCAAGAAAATAGAAGCAAGTCGAGATCTTGTTTTCTTTGTGATTCCTGTGGTACACCTGAATGGAACTTTGAGCCTGGCTAAGAACCTGCATCCTGGAATGTGAGGTTCACCAATTGGTGCCACCTGGGATGTAACCCTGTAGACAGACTCTCTAGCAGACAGGTAAGTGGGGAGAAGAGCCATACCTACATAATAAAGATGGTACATTTCCAAGATGGCAGCTTCTTCCTCGCTCTTCTGACCTGAAACAGAAGGCTGTCTGTTTGAAACAAAGACTTTTTGAACTTTCTCTCCTGCCATCAGGCTCCTGCTGATGGACCGGATCACAAAGTTCTAGGTCAGGACTTGTTTACATAGCAGTTAAAGGCCAACTAGCCATTCTGCCTTTTTTTGAACTGACCAATTGTAAATAAAGGGAGGAAGACTCTTCCCAACCCATGAAAGGAGATGGGATTTCTGGAGAGTCCCCTCTCTGCTCTTTCCAGCCAATGAGAGGAGATGAGAATTTTGGACAGTCCTCTCTCTGCTTTGGGGAGGGCTCTTTTTCTGCTGTGTGTCTACAGCATGTATGTTTTTCCTGCCCAATAAAGTTTTTTTTTTCAACTGCTGATTCCTTTTCTGTTTGCTGTGTTCAAGATTTCTCTGCTGCTTCCTGCTGGACCTTTTTCTGCCCCTTCATTCTTTAATAGGCAGAGATAGCAAATCCCAAGATGACCCCTAGATGGTAACAACAGTCTCTGATGTGCTGGTTCAGCCACTGTCCTGGTGTGAGAAGAAAGTTCCATAGGTACACGGGGCAGGGAAGGCATTGGCCACAGCTGCCCGTGTTTGCTTCTTTTAATTGGTTTGCTTTTGATTTCCAACTTATTTGACTTGGGTTCCAGATTTGTTTTCCCTGTGTAACACTGACTTGGATGCTATTAACAGGCCCATCTGTTTGCTTTGCTTAAATAAAATGTAAATTGGTTTTTGTTTTAAATTTCAGGTGCTTTTCTAGTGGTCTCTGCTGTTCACCATCTAAGGTGGTTGGGCCATGGTGGTGAATGTTTAGCTGCCAAGAATAGAGGAATCTGATTATTTGGTTGTTTTTCTTTAAATGGGTATGATTTTAGTATTTAAGGAAATTTTTGATCTTTCATAGATTTTGATTTGCTGGTGGGTGATTTTTATTCCTTTTATCTGCTCCCCTATTCTCTCCTATCCAGGAGCCACACACTCATTTGTATTCCTATGGTGTGTGTAAGGGTTTATGTGTGTGTGTATGTGCATATATCTATGTGTATTCATGTGTTGATGTATGTGTGTTTGAGTGTGTGTATGTGTGTATATATATGTGTGTTTTCCAACCACTCTTTCCTATGAAGGGAGATAACAAAATACTTGCTACTCAAAGAATAAAACAGCTGCAAATAGTGTCATGCTGATTGTGGTGGGTCTCTTCCATACATGACTGCACTGAAGCATGCACCTTTAGTGAACCATTGATGGGTAAGCAATTGACAGATGAAGGGCCATGCAACGGGATGCATAACAGTGAGGTGGATTTCATCAGAGACCTTTAAATATTCATGGGTACAGGCTTTCTTGCCAATTTTGTTCTTAAGATTCTTTTATAATGGAAACCTATTTGAAAGAGAAGAAAGCTAAGCTCTCACAAGAATTTAAGCAAATGCTTAAAATAAAACCAAAACCAACCAACCAACCAAAAACAATTAAAACAAACAAACAAATTATTCAGAGACAGTGAGTTGGTTCAGGCAGTAAAGATGCTTGTTGCCGAACCTAACAACCTGAATTTGATCACACACATAGGCACATGCACACGCACATGTGTGCATATGCACAAAAACACAGTGTACTTTATCTTTGTGAAGTTTGGCATTTATTTATATATGTGTCCCTGCATACCGCTGACGATGCCACCTTCTATAAGGTATGCAGACAATGCATAGAAAACTGTTCTGGCTTGGTCAAAAGTCCCATGTTCTCAAACGCCTTGCTCCTGCTGTGTCTGTTCTACTCTAGAAATTTATTCCCTAGAATGACCCTCAAATTTCCTTTATTTCACGTAGTACTTTGTTAGCTTAGAGCAGGTGTGTCTTGTCCAGAAGTACGCACAGAAGCAACAGCTGACCCTGCCTCCGGCTGCAAGAGAAGGACCCTGAGCCCTGGTCGCAGGGTACTCTTTAACATAAGAGAAGTGGTTAGTGTGAACCATTAAGTTACCTTGCACACTTCCAGGGAGGAGAAATCCTATGCATCCTTTGGTCAAGTAGTGTTCCCAACAAGATAGAGCAGATGTCAAAGAGGGGAGCTGAAGATTGCAGTGAGCTCATCCTTGCTCTGATTTAGCTCTTTTCAATATGACTAAGACATTCCAGTGGGCAGGGGAGCAACTACTGGGAGCCTGGGAAAGCTTTTATTAACCATACAAGGAGGCTGACTCATTGCTGGTAAGCAGCTCGTCTAGATTTTCCTAAACTAGTCTTGGTATGGAGACTGGGAGCTCCTCAGTCCTGGGTACACTGGGGTAGCTAGTCACCCTATCTCACATTAGAAATTTCGGGAATACCAACATTTTACACCCACCCCCCCCAATTTACACAAATCCATCATTCCTATGGATTGTGGACTAGGTGCATTGGTGTGTATAGAGTTGAGCTTTTCCAGAGGAAGAGAACCACCAGCATCCATAGACAGAGAGGTGTATTATGGAAACTGACTCATTATTATGGAGAGCAAATGTTTCCTGACCAGTTGTCTGCAACTGGTGAGGGAACTTGGCTTTTTTCAGCTCTGGCTTTCTAAAAGTCTCTTAGACCCATCACAGAAAATTAAGCACCATGATGTGGCTCAATCTCAGATATTTTCTGTGCCTCTTCAAGTTTCTGGAGCATGCTCATGAGAGGATGTGCTGCTGTCTTCTGTATTTAGGTAGCCATTCTTGGAGGAATGCTTCCTCCTGCTCCCTGTAATTCAGTTTTATTTTAGAAACTAAATCACTGTAGGAACATTGTTCCTGGAGCTACCATTGGGTACAGTGTGAGAAGACTCTTAAGTCTCTGATGGGGCCGTGAAGCTGACAGATCATAGATGTTTCGTGCTCACGAAAATTTAACAATCGCCACCTACTTCCAGGTGGGAAGAAAACGTGTGAAGTGTGTTGACTTGGAAACTGTTGGGCCCTTGGTCCTGAAAAATGAGCACCTTTCTCTTAGGGATAGGATACGGTGAGACATAGTGCAATTAACACAGCACTTGTTCGATGTGTGTTTGCCTTTGTCCTAAGGCAGTCTTTGCTTGAATTATAGTTCATAGAAAAACATTAAGTCATAGCTATGTTACACATCATAAATAATTGTGAGGAAGCTGTGGCAGTGCTATAGAATCATTTATAAGATCCAAACCTGGAGAATGGGGTTTAAAAGTTTTAAGGCCAAATTAAATAATGCACTAAAAAGGGCAACCAGGTGAAATTGAACACATTCTATTACCCACTAATGATTGTAATAAAATTTATTCCGTAATAACTTATCTGTTCCATAGCAGTCATCTTTTAATATCCCTAGGAGGGAAAACAACAGGACAACAGAAGTGAGAGTTTGATTAGAAACTCACGTTCTTGTAAACTAGTTGGTCTCTAGTTCCACAGAGGTTGATGGGATGCAGGGCAAATGTGATTCATTAAAAATGTATCTAGGGTTAAAAACAAATTCAGTATCGGATGGCCCCGACCCAGAAATGAGGAATTAGTAAAAAGAAAAGTTAAAACTAGATCAGAGACATCTAAATAAAAATTTAAAAAAATATATATTAATAACTTCTAGTACTAGCCATTCAGACATGTTAAAATAGCTCACTCTCATCCACGGTTCTTAGTTGCCCATCTTATAATTCAAATATTAAGGTGGTAGCGGTGTCAGCCACTAAGAATTACTGATTCGGATGAAAAAGTCTTTAGATGTCACAGATTATTTAATTACCAGCAGGTATGCTGCCGAGGTGCACCTACAGCATCCTCACTTCCAGATTTTCAAATCAGGTGGCCTAGGGGCAGCTGGCACATGCGTACCAATGTTTGCCTGTGCACACTTGCACTCACACACACCACCTGCTAATAATTAAAGGATGCACTGCCATTTGCCGTCGCTGACGTTGCCACGACTGTCTTGGTAACATTTCAGAATTTGGCAGGACCCTGGTCTCATTTTTTTTTTTTTCAGCCAGACTAGGCTCACTGGTTTGCTGTGGTGTCAAT